AGCTGGGCAAAGGGAGCAGCAGGCCATCCTGTTGGAGCTTGTGGATTTGAACCTTTGCATTTTGAAATCTTAATTTCAAAATGCATCGTGATTCCTGTCCATTAGACTATAAATTTTATGTGGATAATCTAGGAAACAATGACAACAAGACTGAATTGGAACGGGCTTTTGGCTACTCTGAACCACTCGGAAGTGTGCGGGTTGCTAGAAACCCTCCAGGCTTTGTTTTTGTTGAATTAGAAGATCCCTGAGATGCAGTTGATACCATAGGAGAGTAAGATGGAAGAACATTGTGTTGTTGCCGTGTGAGAGTGAAACTGTCGAATGGTGAAAAAAAAAAAGAAAGAAAAAGAAATCGTGGCCCACCTTCCTCTTGGGGTCGTCACCCTCGGGATGATTATCGGAGAAGGAGTCTTCCACCTCCCCGCACATCTCCAAGAAGGAGGAGCTTCTCTCGTACCCAGAGCAGGTCCCTTTCCAGAGATGAAAGAAGAGAGATCATTGTCTCGGGAAAGAAATCACAAGCCCTTCATATCTTTCTTTAGGTCTTGTAGCCAATCTAGGTCAAATGAAAGGAAACAAAAGACCAATTTGCAAGAGAAGTGCTGTACAGGAAGTCACTTCATTTGACAGGAGTATTTACAGAAAATTCAAGTTTAGTTTGAGACTTCATGAGCTTGGTGCAGTTTTAAGATGTTCAGCTGTTCATATTTGTTTCTCTTTAAGCAATGACATACATAAAGATGTAATTCTCTATGGTTCGAAATGGATCAAATGAGGCATGTAATACCAAGAGTTGTTACTTTACAATGTTCCCTTAAGCATAATTGCATTTGTTTTGAACTTTAGTCTTGTATAGACTGATAATAAACCTTTGAATCCTGCCCAAGTGTGGTATTTTAATACAGAAACAACTGGCAGACAATGAACTGAGAGACACATTTTTCCTATAATTAGGCAGTAGTTGAGCAGGCAGTCTTGTAAAGCTGCTATGAACACAAGCCAGTAAAAAATATGATATGCACCATTAAACAAGAGGTTTTTGAAAAAAATCCAACTAGTCTTCACCCTGAGCAGAGGTTGCCTAGTTGATACAGAATCTGTTTCAAGAAAGTTTATCTTTAGATCCTTAAAGGATATATATGAACACATGGTGGTAACATTCTTTATTGGAATATGAATTTTCAAAGTACTAATGTCCTGCCAGCTTAAGGGTACATCGTAGAGTCAAACTTTGAGTTACCGGGGAAGTTGGTTTTTTGTTTTTTTGGTTTTTTTGGGGGGATTTCTTTTACATACTGTCATTTGTAATATGTTTTGTGAGAATCCTTAGTATTAAAGTTTTGGTTACAAATTGTTGCTTAACTTGAAAGCCTGTTTTCCCTGCAAATTCAAATCTGTGAGCTTAGTGCCAAGTCCAGGTACAACATTCCTATTGTAAGCCATACTTATCTTTTCTTGTAAAGTGCTTGTGAATTAATAAAATAGTAGCATAATTGTGTAATTAAAAAAAAAACACTTGCACATCCATGTTTACTGCAACATTATTCACAATTGCTAGGACATGGAATCAAACCAAATGTCCGAGAACATGAATGGATTGAATAAATGTGGCACATGTACACTATGGGATATTACTCAGTCATAAAAACAATAAGACCCTGGCATTTGATATAAAGTGGACAAATATGGAATATTTAATGCGAAGTGAAGTAAGTCAGACTATGAAAGGTGGACATTGTATGTCCTTGCATAACATATACTTAATTTCTGCATTCTATAGCAGAAACGAAAAGGTCGGAAGGCATAATAGCAGGAAGGTCAGCTGTAGATACTAGAGACAGTGTAGGAGATGGCAGGCAATAGGATATAGGAGGGAGGGGATTAGGGAAAAAAATATTTAATAGAACAAAAATAAAAAGTGAGCTGTTGGGGCTGGCAGGTGGCATGATGATTAAAGGCGCTAGATTCCCACATGGTCAAGGGTTCGGATCCTGGACCTGGAGACTTACTTTCTTAGTTTTCCTTTCTCTCTCTGTCTCTCTCTGGTCAAATGAAAAAAATAATAATAACAAATAGAGGGATCAGCAGTTAGCATAGTGGCTATGTCGCTGAACTCCCATGTAGTTGACTGCAGTTCGAGTCCCAGATCCAGTGGCTTAAACTCACACAGGGCGCATGTGCGTGCATGCCCAAGATCATGAGAAAAAAATGGAGAAGAGATTGCGGTGTGTGTGTGTGTATATATATATATATAATTAAATAAGTAAATAAATTATTATTTTTAAATAGGTTATCTGCCGACGATGCTTATGGTAATGTCTTTGACTCGATTAATATGCACCGTATTCATGCTAAGAAAAACCATGTTGTAAACCATGAAGATGTACAGTGGTTAAATGCAAACACAAAAT